TTTTTTTTTTTTTTTTTTTTTTTGGTACGGGGGATTGAACTCAGGACCCTACACTTGCAAGACAGGCGCTGGAACCACTGGGCTAAATCCCTGGCCCAGATCTCTGGGAATTTAGCCTGGGCTGAGTGAGTTCAAGTCCAGCCTGAACTGCAAAGTGAGATCTTGTCTGAAAAAACATAAAACAAGAAACAAAAAATTCAAAATAAATTTACTACAGAATTTGTGTCTGAAAATTTTTCCTTACACAATAAAATAAACAAAATTGGCACCTTACAAATAAATGAAAATTGGCACTTTACCTCAATAATAAGTACAACCACTAAATCAATAGCTGGTTGATAGAAACTGGATTATAATTCTTAATTCCATATGTAGCACATATCCCAAGTAATCTCCATTGCAGGCTGCATAGATTTTTTTTTTTTCTTTTTTTGAGACAAGGTTTTGACTTTTTGTCCAGGCTGGTCTCGAGCTTACTAAGTTGCCCAAGCTGGCCTGAAATGCCCGATACTCTTGCTTTGGCCTCCCAAGTGCTGGGGCTACAAGAATGTACCACCCACCACTCCCAGCTTCTATTTTTAAACTGTAGTACTTCATTTAGATTTCTCCCTGAAGTTTTAAAATTGGTATAAAAAGTGAGAAAAGCTTTGAAAGCAATTATGTTGAAAGGAACTTGTGTATGACTACTATCATTTAGAGGGTTTAATTTTCACTATTTTATGGACAATTTGAATCATATGTACTTTTCTCAATTAAATTTTAAATTTTAAACATATTAGATGAATATGAATAAATGTATCATTTTAGGGACCATGTGTGCACAATTATTTTACCTCTATAAATGTTGAATCCAAAATTTTTCTTTTTTAGTACTAGGGATTGAACCCAGGGCCTTTACTCTGAGCCGTATGTCCAAACCATCTACTCTTTTCTTTTCTTTTTTGGTACCAGGAATCGAACTCAGGGCCTCACGCTTACCAGGTAGGTGTTACACTGCTGAGCTATATCCCCAGCCCAGCCCCTTCTTTATTTTGAGACAGGATCTTGCTGTCATTAAACTGCTCAGGCTGGACTCAAATTTGCAATCCTCTTGCCTCAGCCTTCCAGAATGCTGGGATTACAGGTGTGGGCTACCATGCTTGATGTGAACCAGAACCTTCTGACTGGTCAGGAATTATATATTTAAAGATGTAGACAACGGTATTGCTTTTTATTAATGCATCAAATTCTAAAAATTAAACTGAGCTTTTCAAAATTTGGCAAAGCAGAGAGAAAACTCAGAAGTAATTTGATAAGCTACTTATTTATTTTAGTCCTAGGGATTGGACCCAGGACCTTTGTACTGAGCTACATAAACAAATAAACAAATAAACAGGGTTTTCAGGGGTATGGGGAAAAAATGAGAACCAAGACCTGTCATGTAAAGGTACAAGATCCCAATGATGAATGTAACTGTACTGTATATCTTAAAAGTACCAATAAACTCACTGGAAAAAAAACAAAATGAAACAGAGTTTTGCTAAGTCTTGAAGTTGCCTAGGCTGGGCTTGAGTTTGTGATTCTCCTGCCTCAGCATCCCAGAGTGCTAGAATTATAGGTGTGTGCCATTATGCCTAACTTATGTTCTTTCTGATTCATTCAAATGGATTTCTCCGTTTACCTGTGAATTTTTTGTACATTTGTGTATCCTGTATGATAATCCTTCAGTTATTTAATGTGAATTTATGAGGTGTATTTTCTAGGCTTAACTCTTGACTAAATGGTAGTAGGGCATAATAATCTTATTTCCTAAACCAGAAGAACAAGACACATGCTCTGACAAACATATGTCAGATGGTGTTTCTGAATCACAGAAATCAGGACTATTCTGGAAACCCTAAAACACAACACAGCCAAATGTGTGAGTTATGTAAGTTAAAAAAAGACACCAAATAAACAATAATGACTCAGGCATAATGGAGGACATCAGGAGTCAGGCAGAGTTGGGTTGACTACTGACTATACATCGTCTCTGTCACTTAGCACTTTTATCATTTTGGGGAAGGAGCTCAATCTAATACCCTGAGCCTTAATCCTCACAAGTGAAATATGTTTAATAATACCTACTTCAATGAGAAGTGAGATCAAATCAGGTAATGTATATATAGCCCTCCACACTGTAATGAGCACATAGTATAGCATTTGATAGATCTCATCTGTATCTTTTTCTTTTTTTGTATCAAGTATTGAACCTCCCCAGCCCCTTTGTTTTGTGTGTGTGTGTGTGCTCGCGTGTGCGCTTGGTTGGTTAATTTTTTGAGACAGGATCTCTCTGTGCAGTTCAGGCTGGTCTTGAACTATGTAGCAAAGGCTGGCCTCAAACTCATGTCGATCTTCCTGCTTCAGCCTCCCAAGTGCTGGGATTACAGGTGCGCATCATTATGCCCAGCTCCTTTGTTATTTTTTGCGACAGGATCTCACTGAATCCCTAAATTGCCCAAGCTGAACTTCAGCTTTTGATCCTCCTGTCTCAACCTCCCAGAGGGCTGGGATTTCAAGCATGAGTCACAGCACTTGTTTAATCTAGCATTTTTGTTATTATTTCATTGTAGCAATTAAAAGGAGAAGGTGGGCACTGATGTATTTGGGTAAAGTTACTGCTGAAAATGTTTGTGGCATACAATCTTTTTAATCTCATTCTCTACTATCATATTTAATAATTTAGCTATTAAATTATTTCTGAAAATTATTTAATGTTTTATGGTTTTTTTTCTTTTCAGTACTAGGGATTGATCCCAGGGCCTTCACATGGAACTAAATTCACAGCTTTTATTTGTTTATTTTTGGTTTTCTGAGACAGGATCTTGCTATGTAGCTCAAGCTGGCCTTGAACTTGTAGGGATTCTCCTGCCTCCATCTCC